TACTTTGGCCCTCACCTGTAAACATTGATGTTGTTTCTTACCTCTACCTGGTATTGATTTCATTCATATCACAACACTGTATGAGTGTCTATGCTCATTTCTGCTCGTGTAGCTGCTTTCTAGATACGCTTGAGTCTATGTAAGTGTTTATGCAGTTAACTCAAGGTTGTACTGTGATCACCTGATAACAGCATTGGCATATACCAGTTTGTAACCATGGCATTTAAATAAAATACTTCAAGTATAAAAAATAATGTATATAGCAAAACAATACAACCACCGTGTGTTTAATACAAATCGGTGAGGTTCAGTCGTTTGTGGCTTTGAAATAAATTCTGATAAGAGAAGGTGTTAGACTACAGAGTCTGTACAGGATGATGATGATGACGGTGATGATTCACACGACTTTAACAAACCAATAATAGCTTATGATTATATAATACTAATACTGGTGAAAGGCCCTCAGTACGTCAATAGACCCTCTGGAATGTTCTCTGTTTCTTTAACACACAGCTCACTGTAAACACAGTTGACAAGAAGTTCTCCAGCTGCTTCCTTAACAGAGAGGGAGTCTTCTCACACTAACAACACGATGGGAAAAAACAGTGGCGGTTTCTCCACCTTAAATTTTTTTTTTTTTTAGCACAAACAATTCTATCACAGTGTTAACCTGTTAGCTCTTACCTGGAGCAGTCACGACACACCCTTCATAAGCAGATGGACATCGGTCAGTTGTAGTCATGGACACGGGTGCTGATAAAAAGAACTTGATGCCTATTGTGATTGTGTTTAGTTCTTTAAGGACTTCTCTTCTTTGTTGGCTTGCTGTTAAGTAAACTGTGTTCATGGTTTGACTTTTCCCATGATCCTCGCTTACATAACGTGAGGTTTAAGATTAACTGCGATATTATTTATGGATATAGATTCTAAGTAGACCTTTCTAGTACCAGTTTCGACTCCCTTTTGACTTCAGAACTGCCTTAATTCTTTGTGCATAGAACAAGGCACTGTTTCAGAGATTTGGGGCCATACTGACAAAAGATCATCACATAGTTTCTGCAGATTTGTCAGCTACTGTGACGAGAATCTCCCATTCCACCACATCCCAAAGCTGCTCTATTGCAGCGGTCTCCAACCTTTTTTGCGCTACGGACCGGTTTATGTTCAACAATATTTTCACGGACTGGCCTTTAAGGTGCCGCGGATAAATACAACAAATAAAACCAGTACCGGTACCAAAAAAAGGGGAGATTTATTCATAACACACGGGAATAGACCCAAGGAAACTGAGTTAATGATAAAACCGATAAAAACCCTGAAAACCATAAATTTCACACCCGAGTCTCAACTCCCACGGCCTGGTACCAACAGACTCATGGACTGGTGGGTTGAGGCCACTGCTCTATTGGGTTGAGATCCTGTGATTCTTGGGGCCATTTCAGTACAGTGAACTCAATTGTCATGTTCAAGAAACCAGTTTGAGATGATTGAGCTTTATGACATAACACGGTATCCTCCATCAGAAGGTGTGTACACTGTGGTGATTAAATGATGCTCAGTTGGAACTAAGGAGCCCACAGTGTGCCACAAAATATCCTCTTCACTGTTACGTCAGCAGCAGCCTGAACTGTTAGTACAAAGCAGGATGGATCCATGCTTTCATGTTGTTTATGCAAAGTTTGGACACTACCATCCTTATTTCACAACAGAAATGAAAAACCATCAGACCAGTCAGCATTTGTCTAGTCTTGTATGCTCAGGTTTTGGTGAGCATGTGCGAACTGTAGCCTTAATTTCCTGTTCTTAGCATGTTGTAGCCTTTCAGCTTAAAGGTTCAGGCCGCTGTGCATTCAGAGATGCTGTTCTGTATCCTTTGGCTGTAACCATGGTAATTGTTAAGTCCCTTGAAGCAACTTGCTGGTTTGAACTTCAGCAGGTTGTCATGTCTATATAATCTAATTGCACTGAGTTGCTGCGATGTGATTGGCTGATTTAGATAGCTGTGTTAATGAGCAGTTTTACGGGTGTGCCTCATAATTAAAATGAATAAACATTCAGTCTTTTTAATTTCCTGTTATTTATTTTATTTTTTATTTCATGGGTGCTTTTCATTGACACTGTGAGTCATCACACCGGGGATCAGGCATCAGTAACCATAATCCCTAAGTAAACTCTACGCTTTAGAGAAGCACAAAAAGGCTCTGAGTGTTTGTTGTTCGCTGATTGACGAGACTTAAAAAGGTGGTAAAGCCACGATCGGGACTGCAGTTTTGAGTGTGGATCACCAGGGGGAAAACATCATGCTGACCTTTATTTTATTTGTGCAAAATTAAACTTGAATCTTTTTTATTGTTAGTGACTGGTTTTAGAAATATTTGTGTGAGCCGTGGACTTCTGGGAATCTGAGTTGGAAAGAGCTTGAGGAATACGGACTTGGGAAAACTAATTTCAAAAGCCAGAAATCACACGTTTAGATAACATTAGTTTGGGGTAAAGGTTAAAGTTGATCCGTGATAAAATCCAACTATGTAACTTGTTTTTGATTTTGCTAAACTAAAAATTTGGAGGTTCTGGATGCACAAGAAATCAAGTTTAAGGTTTTATATGCATAATAAATAAAACTATTGTGATTAACAAGAAGGGGTTTTGAATAGTGCCCGTTTCCCACCAATTTTGGGTACAACCAAAACAACATATCACTGTTTCCATAGAAACCTTTAAACCAAAGAAGATTCGTTCATTTATTGTTATTTTACTTTGGTTAGACAACCTGCACTTGTTCACAATGAATACATCCATGTTAATGTAATTTATTCTGTATTGAGCAGATGACTGGTGGACCTAAATCTTCACCACACACGTCTTTATACATACAAGCGCAAAGGGGAGTGAGCGGGTCAGCGCTCAGGGCACAGAAACTAAGCTGGCTTCAAACACCATTTATTTCCATAAAAACACAGCCAGAGTCACAAATACAAGATAAAATTCCCCGTATACAATAAAAATAGTGTTGCAACCCGCTAAAAACCCTGCCGGCAGAAATAACTATACACTATTAAAACAAGGCTAAAACATGTTTTCCATATACTAAAATTACTCTCCCATAGTCCCATAATCCCACAGTCCAGCCACACATGGGCGAATGGTCCTTATATGAAAGAGACAGGAGAGGAACTTCTCTTCCAGTATGGTAAAACTCGTCAGCAACAGACCAGGGAGGGGGCTCCTATCGCAGACCTGTCTCCTCCTGACAGCGCGTCGCCGCACAGTCCCGCCCCACTCCACACCTGAACACGGCCTCCCTCGTCTCACCGTCAGATGCAGGCAGAGGGGCATCCCTGCCCTGTCGTGCATTGCAGCCATCGCCACCCACTGTTGCCGTTCCTGCCGTTAGGACTGGATCGCCGAACAACTCGCGGCGCCCCACAGTCAGGCAGCAGTTCGTTCCACACACGTGCGGGGTTGCACGCGTTCCTTTTTCGCCTCCTCACCCTTCGTGCGTCACTCCTCTCTCCTTTTGTCTCTGCGCTCACCATCCCCTTTAACAGGTCAACCTGGCGGCTGATAGGCCACCTTGGGGAACGCCCCCACCTCACAGGTGCCTACAATTGACTGTTTAGTCCACAGTGGGTTAAAGGAACATGGTACAACATTAACACAAATATAAATATGAGGATAAAACCATGCAGTATAAATATCAATAAACAAACATGCAATATAAATATCACTATAAAATCATGCAAATAAAATCAACACTATGTACCAATACACAGATTGATAAAACATAAAAACACAAATTTCCGCTGTGTGACATACATCCATGTTAATGTAATTTATTCTGTATTGAGTCAGATCACGGGGTTAGCTGTCAAACAGCCAGGGGATCTCCAGAATCTTTGGGATTCATCTCTGGAAACTGCAAACATCCTTATGAAATTTCACGCTGATACATCATCGAGTTTCTGTTTTCAGCCCAGTGAAGCATTGACAAACTAACCTCCACAGATTCCGCAGACCTGAAATAAATGGTGGCACAGCTACAATTAGACATGTTTGCTGAAAACCATATCAGCAATGAGTCCACTTCCTGCCAAACGGCTCAGGAAATCCTCAACACACAGCACAGTGCACGGCTAATTAGATTTGACACTAGAGTAAAACTTTTATACAGGATCGTCTAACTGGTTCACCATGCTGGAACTGCACTCACGTGGCCTCAGACGTCCTGTGGGCTCGAGAGAGCTCTGTGCAGTGCAAAGAGTGATTTAAAATAATAATAATGATAAAATGATGACTTGCAAATGAACCTACTGTACTGTAGAGTGAAGGCTGACTCGCAGCCCGAATGTGAAGCCCTCAGTCCTGCTGCACACAGAGCCTTAACAAGGCACCCGCTCATAATGTGATTTCATATCTGTTTAAGGTTGTGTTCGGTGGTTGCTGGGCACCTGCTGTTGACGTGATGAACACTTGAGTTAACGGCGCAGGAGTACACTGGAAACATAGCAGGCGTGCCTCCGCTAGGACTGTTTGGATTGTGGAGACACATCAGATGGAGATTAAAGTTTAAATAGCAAAGAGAAGCACTTTTCACACGTTTCCACCTGTTTAATGAATGAACAACTACATCACTGTTAATGCATCCAGGAGTTGCATAATGAGCTTTGGGGGGATTTTATAAGGTGGTGACTTGTTATGGATGTAATCCGCCCCAACAGTCGCCTGTCCATTCGGTCCGACCACGCCAAGCCACTTTTACCAGCAGTCTTGACACTTCTAAGTAGGACTTTAATCACTTTTTAATCTGATCACATTGCAACTAGGTAGCTGCCATATCAGCCAAATAAGAAGGCAGAAGCAGGTTTAGATAAATGCAGACATTTATTTATTTTTCTATTTTTTTTCTACTGATTTACAGCAGCCAGCCTGATTCTGGTCTTGTTCATGAAACTTATGAAAGACTTTATAATCATCAAACTCATCATCTGTCTCCCTCCCAGCAGTGACAGTGCTGCCATGGCATCAGGAACTCCAGACGTAACGACCAATCAGGAGCCTGCTGAAGTCCAGGAAGAGTGCTCAGGTAACAGTTTGATTAAATGTTTTCTGTAAATGTTTGATTGGGAATCCAGGCATATTTAGTATTAATGTATGCTGAGTGGCTGTCTTCGCTGTAATCACATGAAAAGGTCGTGTCTGTAATTTGCATCATTTCGACCTTTTTTCTTTTCAGCTTCAACTCGGAGTTTGCAAGGTCATCGACACACAGGGAGAATGTGAAAATGACCTTTCAACTGTTTCTATTCGGCAGATGGTTCATACTTTCTGTGGATTGCACAGCTAATGAGTTACTGTCCATCCTGTAATCATTCAGGCTGTAGCTAACGAGGCTTCCTTGCTTTAATTTCACAGTACAGAGCAGTGAAAACCAGATCATCCAGGCACTTTGGCAGTTTTCTAGATGAAAGTCTTCTGCATGAAAAGATTGTGTTAATACAAACGTTGTACTTTTTGCTTCTTTTTTTTTTTTTGCTTAATTTTATTTTGAAAGTTTGCAACAACTGAAACAAAATACATGTTTTTTCCAAATCAGTAGAATCTTATCAGTGCATGTTTTGTAAATCTCTGAGGTCTCATTTAGTGGGAACACATGCAGAAACTCCTGGTGCTTTCAGCTCTGATGACAATAATAAATGTTGTTTCAGAGATGGTTGGATGCTGGTACTTGCCAGCGATATCAGCAATGAGATTTTCTACTCACTCCCAGCAAAGATCCAATCAGCTCGAACGATCGCACACAAATATCTCCTTGCAGGTTGTGGCAGGAAATGGAGGAAAACACAAGGCTGTCGCACACAGACGTGCACACAGATTAACAACAAACAGAGTGGGAACCAGGATGTAGATGTGTGTCGACATGGAAAGGTTAAGTTGTGAGCTTCTTGTGAACACAGTGACTTAAGCAGACGTGATGAAACTGGTCTTTCGTGCCCAGGCTTGAGGTCCAAGATAATGTGAGTGAATAACAGGCAGAAGTTTGTTTTCAGGAAGCTCTCGGTTCAGTTTTGAATCTTGGGCTAATGCTGGTGCAATAATCCTGCTGAATTTTCAAGTTTGCTCACTTGCTTTTCACAAGAAATGAACAGTCTCTAATTTTTCTGGTAGTTTTGTTTTTATGGAGATCCCAGCCCTGATATTGTCTCCCTTTCAAAGGTCACCATCCTCTCACAGTTCAGCTGAGTTGCCCCTAATTTTGAGCTCAGGACTGTGTATAGGTCCTGATAGTCATAACAGAATGCATATGGAGAAACTATAATATCTCAGCTCTACGCTGACCTTCCACTGAATCAGCTGCCTTTTTCTAAGCAGACCTTTTGGCTTTAATAGAGTATTGTGCCTAAAATAGCACAATAAATGGTACTGTTGGGTGGTGCTTCCCCCTGATAGTTCATCTTGGCCATGCAGAAAGGCCTCTGAAGCTTCATCAAAAAGCAGGTTGGAACCTCCTCAAGTAAAGACAGCACTTTGTGGACTGCAGTTATCCAACAATAACTTGTTCTGTGTGCGGTTTAATGGCATCTCATTAAGATGCTAAAATTGGTTTTCATTATATTTTGACAGACTTTTATTTTAGTGACGTCTTTGGGTTTCTGTGTTACACAAAAAATCCCAAAAGAAAATGCACCGCATGTGCTTAACATGATCTTGAGTGAGTGACCCAGAGATTTAAAGCATCTTGGCCTCAGCACCAGGTTTGGATTCCAAACATTTTTCAGTTGGGACTTAGCTCCAACCAGAAAGTGTATTTTTAGAAAAGAAGGAATGCTCAAGGATTCCCCACAGGGAGGAGGATGAAAATGACACAGCTCGTGGAACAAAAATGCATCTTATTTTGAAATCTCTACTGAAGAATGTCTGTGGATGGCTCAGGGGTAGGAGTCCTCAAAATAGTTTGACTACAGTTGTTCTGTTTGCTCCCGACTTCTTCTTTCTCATTGTTGTTTCTCTTTCTTGCAACTCAGCTTCTGTTTCCTTTCTCTGGGGATGTTTTAAGTGCCTCCTGTAGTGCGTGTAACAAATAGTCCACCCGATTTATAGGTTGGCCGATATTATCAGGTGATATTAGCTATTTGCCACTCCTATGGGCATCAGGATTTTAAAGGCCACAAAATGAAAATTTAAAAAGTAGAGTAGAAACATTAAAAAACACTGTTCAAACATTTTATAGGTCTTACTTAGTTTGCCAGCCAGAGGACTCTTCTCTGATTGGGATGCTACAAACACAACAGCCAGCTGATTGAGCAGAGTCGGGCTGAACGTGGACGAGTAAAGAAACTACATAAACTAAATGTTAGAAATCTGTTTATGTTTAGTGTGTCTGAAAGAAATATATTGGAAAATCTAAATCTCCAAATATTGTCACTGCTGTTTCTGTTTCTGTCTAGCTGTGAAAACAATGAAACATGTTGCACTTTGTGATGACTTTTGTCTGATTACAAGTGTTTCTATTTGATGGCTACTTCAGTTTACTCAAAATATACAACAATAATGCTTTTTGCTTTTTTTTTCTCCCCACCTTACAAAACCTACATTACCCACAATGCTCTTCAACCACTGACAGTTTGGAAAGCCTAGCTACATTCAGATTTTGTTTTGTTTTTTCCCCATCATCCTCAGCTGTATACAGGTCTACACCTCTACCATTGCAATCAATGCATTGCACACTGGTTTATGAACTGCTGTCTTACACCGCGTTATCATTCTGGCTTCTTTTTGAAACAAGAAGCGCTGCCCCCTGCTGGCCGTTAGAAACAATGTGCACTTCTATAATGGCTTTGTTTTTCTAAACCACAGGCTGTGTTCATCTTTTATGTACAGTCTATGGTTTGACCCAGTAAATATTAGCTAAGCTAATGAACATAGTAAACATTGTAAGTGCTATACATGTTACCATTGTTACTATGTAGATGAATAAAAAAAATAAAAAAAAGACCAACTCTGCACTACTCTTTATACTGATCATGTGGTTTGAAGACAAATGCGTAGTGTATAAGTGCTGAGCCAGCCCACATCCCTGTTGAATGTGAGATGGAGCGAGGACCATTTCAGGTTCTTGATGACAGCTGTTTAAGAAGTTATAAAAGAGCTGTTGAGTTTTTCCACTGTGGTGCTAATAGACACGGACCCACTGTGGGGGTAGGTTTACAAGCTTGAGTTTGTGTCTGTTTATGCATATGTGTATTTTCAGTTTTCATGTTGGCCTCTGCAAACACACACACACATCGTTCGCTCTGTGTGGTTCCCTCTGGGCTGCCTACCTGTGTCTTTACATCCACCGCAGGACTAATTGCTCTATAACTTGAGTTCACACTGGGGCAGTGTGTAAAGATGCCATGTGTGTAATGTTCTCATCAGCATGTAACTGTGCACCACCATGCAATGATTCATGATTCTGTCTTCTCAGGAAAGAAGAAGTCCAAGTTCCAAACATTTAAAAGGTTCTTTGCCAGGAAGAAGAGAAAGGATCCATCAGCTGCAGGAGCGGACGCGAGCCTTAAAGCCAGCCAGTCGAGTGACAATGTCAGCAAAGCATCAGAGAGCAACACACTTACTCGAGCAGAGAAGGATAAAGGCTCTGGGTAAGATCGCACACGTGTGCTGAATGACATGCTTTTATTTACAATCTGATGAAAGTACACAGAGCTCAACTAAGACCTGTCACGCCTCTACTTATTTATTATATGCTCATTTTGTCATATCTTCGTATTAAAGCTACAGTCGGTTGTAAATACTCGTAAATATACATTGAGTAGTGTGCATCATATATCTTCCAACAAATCGCTAAACTTGGATTAATCTGTTCCGGATTCATGAACTTGATAAATTGTGCATAAATGTTCAGTGTTTTTTCAGGTTTGGATGGACGCATTTGTAAAATCGTTTTACGTGTCCTCAGACTGCTTCATATTTGTGTGTGGGTGTGAGTCCTTACACACAAATCATTGTACACATTTCTAAATCCTACTTTATGCTTGTGGATCATATCATAATCATTTGCAACCCTTTTGAGGCAAATTTCTCTCCATGAACTGGGAGAACTGGAAGGAGTAGGAAAATAAAATTCAGTTTTATTTATACAGCGCCAAATCACAGCAGTCGCCTCAAGGCGCTTTGTATTGTAAGGTAGACCCTTCAATAATACATGCAGAAACAGAAAAACCCAACAATCATATGACCCCCTATGAGCAAGCACTGTGGCGACAGTGGGAAGGAAAAACTCCCTTTTAACAGGAAGAAACTTCCAACAGAACCAGGCTCAGGAAGGGGCGGGGCCATCTGCTGTGATTGGTTGGGGTGAGAGAAGGAAAACAGGATAAAGACAAAATTCAGTTGATTGCGATTTTTAGTCTAATGACATCTAATGGTGAGATTTTACACACTTTACCTTTAAGCATGGACCAACATTTCAAATAATTAGGTCAACCTGAGTCGAAGTCTTGGGCAACACAACTTCACCCGTTGCCTACTGGTGGTGGTCAGAGGGCCCGGTGGCGCCAGTGTCCGGCAGCCTCGCCTCTGTCAGTGCACCCCAGGGTGGCTGTGGCTACAATGTAGCTTGCCATCACCAGTGTGTGAATGTGTGTGTGAATGGGTGGATGACTGGTTGTGTAAAGCGCTTTGGGGTCCTTAGGGACTAGTAAAGCGCTATACAAATACAGGCCATTTACCATTTAAGTAAACCCTGTGAGCCGAAAGGCTTCAGAATGCTCCGAACACTCAGTTTTAGACAGTTTTTTCTACTCCTGGCTGTGTTTGATGTCAGAGAGAAGCGATATCTAAAAACTGGTCATCTGTAGCACACATCTCGGGGTGTGACTAGCCCACCGACCTGTTGATCAAACCTTCTGTTTGTGAGGGACAGGACAATATGACAAAAATCAATTTGAAGGAAGTGGAATGGAACTAAAACTACATAAACGGTGTGTTTTTAAGCAAAACCATTTTCCTCCCATTTCCCTTTCAAATGTAAATGTGTTTTAACTAGAGATGGACCGATCCGATATTACGTATCGGTATCGGTCCGATACTGACCTAAATTACTGGATCGGATATCGGAGAAAAATAAAATGTAATCCGATCCATTAAATATCACGAAAGCACCTCACAAAACTTGCAACACGCCGTAACTCACCTCAGAACGTTAGCACGTCGGAGCAGTATGCATCACGTGATAGAGCGGCTGTGGCATGCGGGACCTGTCGGTGGTCTGGATAGCATTTGGAGCTTCGCTAGCAACCCGGCATTTCATCTCCGACAAAGTTATCCCCGAGAGAAGTAAAGCAAGTGTGTAAGTCCATCTCTGAATGTTTGTAAAGCATTCCTGCGTTAAGCTTAACAAGCGACTGCCTCTTCTTGCTGCTACTTCAATCATGAAACTGCTTAATGATCAGCTGATCGGCTTTTCTGTCGCGAGTCCGTCTCTTGTTTGTTTTTGGCCCACTTTGCACCAGAAAGAGGAAACCAGCGGCTGAACAACAGCAGCACGTTTAAGCTTGATCAGCTGTTGTTAGAATTTATTTATTATTACTTTCTACTCGAGGATCTTTTTCTACGTAGCTGACGCTGGTAACTGTGCAGGGGCGGATCTAGCAAAGTTTAGCCAGGGGGGCCGATAGGGCATTAACAGGGAAAAGGGGGCACAAAGACATACTTTTCTTTCTTATTCTCATTTAAAATGTCTAGCTTTTAATAAATAATTATCTGACACCCAAAGTTTTAATTTGATGTAAAATGAATAGAAGTTATTGATAATCCAAATTGCCACTAGGGGTGAATGTGCGAGTGAATGTGAGTGCGAATGGTTGTCTGTCCCTGTGTGTTAGCCCTGCGACAGACTGGCGACCTGTCCAGGGTGTACCCCGCCTCTCGCCCTATGACAGCTGGGATAGGCTCCAGCGCCCCCGCGACCCTGAAAAGGATAAGCGGAAGCGAATGGATGGATGGATGGATGTATAGAAGTCAATTACTGTATATAGTGACTATTAAGTCTAATATATATACCCTAGTAAGCTATAGTACTTTTTCCTTTGGGAAGGTACCATCTGTGCAGTCTGCAATTTTGTTGAAGAAAGATGTTGAATCTATTTAATATTTCTTGAAAAATAATTGATTTCTGTGCATTTTTTTTCACACTGCATCAAATTAAGGTTGATTACGTCGATTAAGCATCATGAGGTGGAGCGTGAGGGGTGGTTCCCTATTTTTTATTTATTTATTTTTGTTGTTGCTGGGAGTTGGAACCCTATTAGTTAGGTTGCTTAATATTTACGCTAAGTACTCTTTAAAATACCAGAATAGGGAGGATGGTGTAGGTTTAAGTTTATTAGATTGATCAGTATTGCTGAACTATGAAATATTTTTTTGCATACAGGTATAACAGAATAGCTTTAGTGTAGTTGTTGTTTTAAACTTGAGTATGAACTTATACAAAATGCAGCAAGATATTTAAAAAACAGTTTTGTTGATTAAAAAACACTATATCGGATTCATATCGGTATCGGCAGATATCCAAATTTATGATATCGGTATCGGACATAAAAAAGTGGTATCGTGCCATCTCTAGTTTTAACATCCATCTCCTGTTCTGTCAAACTCACCTCAGCGAAGGCTCAGCGCTTCCTGTTTTTGTAACAATTAGAAGAATGTGTGTTTTCCTGTGGAAAAGTCCTGAATTTCTTTGTTTTCCTAAGCGGTGCCACTTCCTGCTTTGTCTCAGTCTGTCACAGGAAATATCTAGTTACATTTTACTGATTTCTCTGATCATCATCCTAATTACTGGGAGACAACAAACCATCACTTAAAAAACTACTTCTTTTCAGTTGATATATATTTTTATACGACACATTCCAAACACTCTGCATGGGTAGTTTATGGTATTTGTTGTATGTCGTGATCCGCCATCTGGTTCTTTTTTTTCTTCTACCTGTCTTGTTATAGAAGCTGTGAAACATCACTCTGTGCTGTGTTTATTTCTTCGTCTTCCTGTTTCCCAAAGGTCGAAGATCAGTCTGGGAGGCAAGGCTTTGTCACATGACTCCGTGTTTGTTTCTGACTCATCGGAGGCGAACGAGGCTCTGGGGGCATCGCAGGACAGCCTTCATGGGAAGGTGAAATCACTCCAGGTATGCGCACACAAACGCAGTTACCGGATCAAAGATAAACATGTTAAAGTTAAAGTCCTCTCAGGTCTAGTACACCAGAGACCCCCGACCCCTTGACCTTTGACTACAGGGGTTATTAAGGAATAATAAACAAATAAAGATTCACAGTCTGACACATTTAAGTGTGTTTGGGAGTGAGCACTTCTATGCCCCAGGGCACTGAACAAAGTGCTGCCAGCAGATCTGCTATATATTAAGCCTGTGGGATTACGAGTAATAAGTGGCATTAAATAATCTTTGACTTTTTACACACAAGTTTTGATCCATGTGTAATGTGATAAACGCAGCGGTTTGGACAGGCGGAACTGATGTGTTTCACAAATAGAGATTAAAGTTCTGTCAAAGCAAAATGAAAGGACCGCGTGATGAGAAGAACTGCAGACAGATAGAAAGAGTATCTGTCACAATAGTGGGCTAAAAGGGGAAGACATGAGACCCAGACGGACGCGCTGACCTCCAATGAAACGGCTCCGCTGAGCTACAGAGGAGTGAGACTCAAACAACTCCTTAAAGCGATTTTTGCTAAAAAGAAACACTTTCTCCTGTAAGCTAAAATAAAACGGAGGAAGTGTTTGATTTGGGCTCCTTTGTAGATCAGAAAGTGTGTAACGGACACGGGCAGAGTGCCTGATAATCAAATCCAAGAGTTTTCAGGCAAAACAGCCACAGATATTTTGGCGAGATGCAAGTTGCTAATAGACTGATTTCCATAAAGTGAATTTACTGTGGAAAAACAATCTAATGGAGATTTCCTGACCTTAATCCTCGCTGTGAGCTGTGCTGCCTGTTTGATAAGCAGAATGAGGCCATTCCAGAGCCAAAAATAAACACATTATGTAAGGATCGATACACTACAAGGCCATTAACATGATGCACAGGAGAGTGACTGTCATGTAGTAACTCACTAAACAAGGGTGTTGCCACTGTGACCGGTCCAGAAAGCTTCAGATAGAAAAAATTTCATTTGATGGCGTTTTTGGGCCTGCGTTTGTTGTCCAGTAGTATAGCCAGTGTTGGGGAGTTACGGAATACATGTACCGCCGTTACGTATTTAAAATACAAAATATGAGTAACTGTATTCCGTTACAGTTACCGTTTAAAAAGGTGGTATTCAGAATACAGTTACTTTGTTGAAATAAATGGATTACACTGCGGTACTTTCCTGTTTCATTTTGTCGCGGGTCAGGACTGTTTGGGTTTTGTTTGACAGCTACGTTCTGTTGTTCCAGGCGGCAGCGTTACGGTTGCCATGGTTACAGGGCGACGCTCTCTCTCTCTCTCTGCGACTGTGTGTTTCCTGGGTGAGAGAGCGCCTTTTCGTTGTTGTTGTTGTGCTAAGCTAACAGGCAGAATGCTACAAGCATAGCTCTAAAGAATGTAGCATCATGGGCAGTGTAGTCCGTGCTGCAGGGAGAATGGACTGCCATACACGTTATGGGTCTGTGAGCGCGAGGAGGGAGAAAAAGGGGAGTGGAAAGGTACGAGTTGTCATCGAGGAAAAACGGGAGCTGGAAGCATGTAAATATAATAATAACCACTCAGCCAAGAAGAGTGCCTGACGAGCCCAGTTGTAAGTAAGCTATTAAGACTCGACTGTACACCGTGTTCGTGTTTTCCTCCGAAAACAATAAGTTCCGTTGGAGCAGCCTTTCAACGCCTCTCTCTGTCTCTCGCAAGAAAAGTTGACCCACACAACAAAGTAAAGCTATTTTTCGGCTACGAGCCGACAGGGACCCCGCCGTATTAGTCAGAGGTCCCTTTACTACAGTTCGGAGTCGCGGACCTTCAGTAATAGTAATAAATCACACAGCAATAGTACATTCACGTTGTTGTAAAAAGCATGATAATATATTAAGTAATCCAAAGTATTCAGAATACGTTACTGTCATTGAGTAACGTAACGGAATACGTTACAGAATACATTTTGGGGCATGTATTCTGTAATGGAATACATTTTAAAAGTAACCTTCCTAACACTGCGTATAGCTCTTTAAGTATAGGAATTCAGACAATACAGAAGCTACAAAGATGCAATTGCATCCTGTCCTACCAAAAAAATCACACAAAAACAGGACACTGGCCAACTGAGATGATATAAAAGACAGGTGTAGCTGCTGTGAGGTCAGCCACTGCTTTATGAAGTTGTGTTATGTTTCAATGTTGCCTTCTTTGGTGTTTTGAAGCTGGATGTTGCAGTTGAGGGGTAAATCTGACCAGGAAGCTCACAGGCTAGTAACATGTCTATCAGAAGTCATTGACATTGGATAATCTTCCTTTCTGTCAATGAGTTTAACATTTTGCTCACTCTTACCCAAAACTAGTAACCTGGTCCATAAACCTATCAGGAAATCGTTTACTGTGGTCACAGCTGGCAGCCGATTTCTCATTGGTGTATACAGGAGCAACCACAGCTATCACCCCCTGGTGGCCGTTAAAGAGAATGCAACTTTGCAGCTACAGTGTCTCCATCTTTTACACTGTCTGTGGCCCGACAAGTGGACAATTTTCACTCCACTACAAAGACTTTTGTCTTCTGTGGGACCGTGGCTAAAGGGCAAGCACTAACAACTGTAACACACTAACCACTGGTTCAACATATTTTTGATGCTGCCCCCTGGTGACAGTACACAGCTACTACATACAGGTGGAGCTCTGCCGTGCTCTGCGTTGGACCTATAGACTACCAGTGCACTATTACAGCGGAGCGGAGGATGAATTTGAGGATGTCCACCCTGTCACACCGCAGCTAGCATCATGAGCAGAGTGATATGATTGGCAGGTGGAGTTTAATAGAAGGGTAAATGCTCACGAGAATCTTTGTGCAAGTGTCAGTTAGCTCCATTATATTCAACAGAGAGCAGACATGTGTACAGCTGATATGGGCAAACCAGTGCTAAAAGGGAGAAATGCATGAATGTGGTTTTTGAGGTGAACCCTCCCTTTAAGCACATTTTCACGCACATTTAAATTAAAAAAACTACATTTCAGATTAATTTTCGCTTCCACCCACAAACAGCTTCCAGTATATAAGCTGACGATGTTAAAATAGAAACATTTAGAACAGCAGATTCTTTGTGACTTTGTCAAGAAACTTGTATTGTGTGTCCGTGTGTGTCTGTGTGTGTTGGTGCGTGCCAGTGTCCAGCCCTGCTACAGAAAAGCTGTATTGTCCTGTGCTGTGAAACTGAGTAAATGAGTCCTTGACTGACTGTTACAGGGAAGCACGCAGATAAAGACTGTTTGAGTTTCTGCGATACCAGCTACACACACAGATACACAATCACTTTCAAAGGGCTTTCGCTTCTCTGTCGAGTGCCCAGCTATGAGTCCTCACTGGTCATTCCCTGTTAGTCATATTCCACCACAGTAAAGATCTTTTCCCCCTGCAAACAGCTGTAATGCTCAATAAACATATACTCAAACACGCCATTGTTAGCCTTTCATACAGAGCTGTAGTTTATTAAACAGGGTCTCAGATATGGTGTTTCCCCAACTGTAAGTAATGATAAACACCTTCACTTCCTTATAAAACAAACAGGTGAGCACATGCCTGAAACGTGCACACACTAACCCTGCTGTCATAAATGTGCTTTTTTTTTTTTTTCCTCCTCTGCAGCTTCAGCTGAAGCAGGCCATCAAACTGGGCTCTCCACCGTCTCTGATGTGTGTGAAGAGGGCAGAAGATCCTGCGACCATGTCTGAGGATGACGGCCTACCCTGCAGCCCACCAGAATACACAACAGTTCACACGGTCTTGATAAAGACATGCTTTCAATGATGCCTTCCTTCTGTTAGTGCCCCTGAGTTTGGCTCCTAACATTCTTCTCCTTGTTCTTGGTGCGTCTCCCAGAATCAGGCTCAGGCGAACAGTTCCATCAGTCTGGAGGGAATAGACAGCGATGAGGACCGGGTAAGCGTCAGCGCAACGAAAACTAAGATACTGCATTGTTTATTTCATGCTTTGTTCCATTCACAACCGACACATTTACCGACGAGTGAACTTCCACGCTGCGATGCTTTACGATCTGCACCGTGTCCTGCGTGTGGCATTACAACCAAAACAGCGATTCAAGTAAGATCGATGTGATTTGTTAAAGCCAGGAGGAATCTTTGTGGATGTGTTGGAGCTGTGTGCGATTGCTCCTCATGTGACTGTGGCGGAGAACAAATCTCATGATCCCGTCTAATCACTAAAACGCTGCTCTTGGTTCTAAATAAAAGCCCCTTCATGCAAAGTGACATCTTTCCCTATGTTCCCGCTCTTTGGCGCTCTTTTTCCCCCTCTGTTGCTTTTAGTCTTTTTGTTTCAGCTTTCTCTTTTTTGTATCCTTAAATTGTCGTCCTCCTGACCCTGCGTATAAATCTGCGGTTTAACCAGTGTTACCCAGAATGCATCATATTCTCCCTAACAATAATTTCAAATGAGTCCTTTTTATGGATCCAGAGAATCACAGTGCCAGTTCACAATAAGGCAAATGTCCCGAGAACATCAGCTATCCAATTAGTCTCACTTGACTATAATATGGCCTAGAAGCACAGTCAGCAAACTATGACAAAGGAGCCTTTAATGATAGTGTACTTTTAGCAGTTTCAGGCGGGTTTTGGTCATTCTCCCACTGGAAAGAGCCACAAATGGCTGGCTACAATGACAGGCACACAAAACCCTGAAAATATCCCCTTTAAAGTCAATTCCACACACAGGAATGTGGTCAAGGATAGACTGCACTTACAGTGGCACTTTGTGCAGTTTATCCATCCACTGAGAATTCACTAAGACATCAATTGTTTACTTGACTGTGGGGTTTTTTGTTGTTTTTGTTTTCTTTTTTGTTTTTTCCCCCCAGGCTTTATTTAGAAAATGAATTTGATTTATTTGCAACAATCCAGGCTTTGACTCACACCATCGCTGTCAGCATACGTCACTGTGGAGACTTAGGTCTAGGTCAGCCAGTGTTAAATGCATTTACAGTAAATATAAAGAGTGCAGACTTTGTCATCTTTTCACACATACTTGTCTGTAGTTTGTGGATATAAGTTGGTCATTAGAGGAGTTCAGACTGCCTGTTTCTATTAGCAGTGGATGATCAAACTGTGTGTAAGACAAAGAACATCGTTTGAGAATGAGATGATCTGAGAATCATCTCCTGAGTTTATTGTTTCCATTGTGTTGTAAAGTGAAGCCGGCACACAAATGTCTGTAATACTTCCAGATCCCAGCAGGGGGCGACTCTGCTAGTTGCATAAAGAAGCCAGATTGTCCATAGATCAGACATAACATCATAATCACCTGTCTAATATTGTTTTGGTCCCCTGTTTTCTTCCAAAACAGTCCTAACCCATCGAGGAAACACTAGACCCCTGAAACTGTGCTGTGGTATTTGGCACCACGATGAACTTGTCTGGCCAGCACATCCCACAGATGCTTAAGTGGATTTAGAGGCAAAATCAACACCTCAAACGCGTCGTTGTGCTTCTTAAACCATTCCTGAACTATATTTGCTTCGTGGCAGGGTCCTTTATCCCGCTGAAAGGGCTCACAGCCATCTATACTGTTTGCATGAAAGGCTGCACATGGTCTGCAGCAGTGCTTAGTTAGGCGGTACGTGTCAAAGCAGGACCCAAAGTTTCCCAGCATCCTCAAAGGTTCCATTAGTGTCATGTATATGAAGCCACCTATTATGTAAGTGAACACTGACAGAGTTAGCAACCAGCTGATTAACAGCATAATCTTTATTGTTATTAGATGAGATCTAGATGAATTAAAAGGAGAATCAATACTGGATATAACATCAGGTGGCCAATTGGAAACGAATGGATACTAACATATAAGGTTACAGTGTATCACTTATTGCAGGTTTAAGGAATCAGTGTTTTTTAATTGTGAGTCACTGTTTGAGACTCGGTGATGAAACGGTGCTTCAGACATAACATTGGCTCAGCATCCTTTCTCACCATGGAGACTGGAACGTGATTGGCTGTTTACTTCTTTCAGTGTCGTGTTTTTAAATCCTGTACGGACATAAATGGAGAGGCTTATGTTCAACACATATCTGCAGCACAGGAAATAGTTGTCATGTGCCGTCTGTGATAGTGGAAGATGGGTGTGCGTGCGCGTGTGTGTGTGTGTGTGTGTGTGTGTCTGTTTGGGTGTGGTCATAACCAATCCTCCAGCTTCTCTTCAAACCTTAAATGGAAGTCTGCAGCTTGACCTCTTCTTCCTCTGTATGTTGCTTTCCCCCTTTCCTTCTCTCTGACCTTCTTTTTCTTTTCTCCAGCCACAGTACATGTTATTCCACTGACCGTGTGTGTGTGTGTGTGTGTGTGTGTTGAGTGTTCAGAGTGCATTCCAATGGTTTCTTTGGCAGTCAGCATGTCTGCTTGTAGTTAAAGCATTAAGAGTCTGCCTCTTTCTCTCACTCACACACACACACACACACACACACACACACAGACACACACACACAGACACACACACACACAGGGAAACCTATATTTTGTTAAAGAAGTACTGTGTTATGCGATATTTCATGAATATGTTTTAAGGGTAAATTCAGTTAGATCATAAAACAAACCATGTGTTCATACAACACAACACACTTTTTGGTTTACATGCAGAATGAAAACTATGAAATGGTATTTTACAGTCTAACAGATGCAGACAGACATTAGCATGTAGTGTGTGTTGCAGTGTTAAACTGTGTGTGTGTGTTTAGTGGAAGAAGAGCAGTGTTTTTGTGGGTTTTGTGTTGAAATAAGTGAAAAGGTAAGTTTGTGAGAGGTGAGAGAGGTAGGTTTCTGTGATGACAGACTAGTGTTGGTTCTGCAGATAAGGACTGCTCATGTTTGTACAGCTGGACTCCCCCTCTCCTGCTCAGTCTCTGGCTACTTGTTTGCATCCTTGGGGGATTTTTCAATGTTTGTGCTTTTAAGCTTCTTACAAGTGTGGCTGATGTCTGAGAGTTGACCACCTCTATTTGGAGCCGTCCCACTTGTGGGGGTGGACAATTGGATGGATGGTCAAATTCTGTCCCCAGAGATCTCTCCTGGTTGAGTGTTGCTAAATGCTAAATGAGTGTTTCCTGTCTTCCCAGCTGTCCTGCGCAGCCTCCAGCAGAGCAGTGAGCCCCCTGGTGGTTCCAGGAGACTTCAGCCAGCCGGCCAGTCCTTTTGTCTGTCTGGATAACTCTGCAGCCAAGCACAAGCTGGCCCTGAGGCAAAAAGCCAGGAGGAGACCTGCCAGTGTAAGAGGGGGAACAAAAGCTCTAGCATGAATAAACACTAATACTCCCATTACTTTAAATGGATCTTTATAGCTTTTCATGGCGTGGCTCTCATTGCATAGAGTCTGTTTTGTGATAAAACTGGACCTAACAAAGTAATTCCCCAACTATAAAAAAGAAACCTAAACAGTGGGACAATCAAAGTGATTAGTCAATAGTTTCCCCACATTATCTAAAAACCTTTTTATATGGAGGTTAAACTTAAAGTGAGTGCAGAAAAGTACAGCAGCCAGAGAACGGGTCAGGTGGTCCTGTCTGCACAGACATTCGTCCTTCTCAGTCATTCAAACTTTTCAAAGAAGTTACGCTGAGAAAAAAAGTGATTTTACTGATACAAATTCATGAGACCTGTTGCTGTATTGGATGTTATCACATGTATGCTGCTACAGTTTTCTAGGACTGCTTGGCTGACTGTTCATTGGCGATTGATGATGCTGATGTCACCACAAATGTCTCGTTTCTGTGCAGCGAACAGAGGGGAAAGCAGGGCAAGAGTCTGAGATGGAGGCGAAGCTGACGACCTCCACACCGCTGCAAGACCAGCAGGAGGCAGAAGGTGTGTGCGCAAAGCCCCTAGTTTTCATGTATGGAAGCCTGTGAATGCCAATATTAAAACAAAAGTATTTAATCAAATAGAAGGGTTATAGTCCACATGAGTGCAAAAGATACATATATGTATTTGTTTAAGTTATTTTGGTAACACTGTATTAAATGGAATATTACTGTATTTTATGTGAAATTACAATGCAATTATATTTACATACACTTAAACACAAGAATAAGGGGAGAACAAATCAGGTTTTTAAAGGAAACAAAGATATAATTCTACTGTGAGTAATTTTAACTGCTGCATAACCTTACAAGAAACCAGACACACATTTTAGTGTAAATAATTTTAATTGCAACAGTTGAATAATAGAAAATCAGTCATGAATATAACTTTACAAAGTTATTTAATATTCATTATATTTATATATTTATTTATAATTTTTTTTTTTTTATATAGATAATTCACACAAATAATAATGAAGTGGTTTATATTGGCTGCCATCAGCTTCCATATACTTGTTACTTCTGATGATAAGGTGACACTTTTTTGTGTGTTTGATTCAGAAGTGGCTGATGTTCTGCTGAAACCAGAAGTTGAGAGGGAGGAAAATGAGGAGGAGAGCGAGGAGACGGATCAACCACAACATTCCATACAATCCCTGTTGGGAGATGAGGAGGAGGGAGAAGATGAGTCCGATGCCGAACAGGATGTTTCTCACGACCCGGACACTTCCTCTCCTCCTGAGCCAAGTCACTCGGAGGAAGAAGACTCCGACAGCCAGCCCCTGCCCTCCTCCAAGCTCAGCTCGAGCGCCTCCTCTCTGGATAGTCCCAGGTGAATAGAAATGCTTTCCTTTTGGTTTTCCTCTCCCAGGAGTGTAGCTTGGTTTGTTTTATCTTATCTCTTGATTTCTGCTTCTAGGGCCACACCAGAGCCCCCTTCTGGCTTGACGGACACAAGCATGGCTTCCAGTGCAGCGGAGAGTAAGGATGTAAGTGACTCTGCATCTGAAAGTGAAGAAGATGGGCTCCAGAACCACGGGGAGGAGGAGAACTCCTTCTTACAGGAGGTGCTGAGCTCTTTGAAGACGCCCCTCGTATCTGCCTCGCTTGATATGAAAACTGAGGGCGCCGTCCTGGAGATGAAGGAGGAAGAGGTCAAAGAAAAGGAGGAAGAAGAGGTAGAAATGGAAGAAGGAGAGGAGGTTAAGGAAGAAGAGGAAGAGGTGGATGAGTCCCTCAATTCTCAGGCTGCTCCCTCGTGCTCCATGCTGTCAGATCAGACCACGAAGGAAGAGGAGCAGGTTGTCACTTCCTTGTGGCAGGAAGAAGAAGAAGGAGGAGTGGATGCTGAGGAAGAAACGGAGGAGGAGGAAGAGGAGGAAGAACCAGCTGTGGAGAGATTTATTCGATCTGATGTATGAATCTTTGGTTATTTGACATTTTAAATGGATTTTGTGTGGAAGATAAAAGGCCCCATGCCTTCCTCACTTACCCTAAACTCCTCTGACGCTGCTTCGTGAGTGTCTTCATATATTAGGCAGTTTATATGTCAGCCAATGCGCACTGTGGCAGGAACAAAGGGAAGCATATGACGTGAAGCTACAAATGCAGACACGGTCCAAAACTAGAATTAGACTCGCATGAGATATGAATGTTCCACGCATGGAGAAAATGAGGGAACACAGATTCCAGTGCAAGGGAACTTTAAAAAAATGTTCATCCACTTTATTTTTAAAAATCTAAATAAGGTTAAATTGAATTTCGATTTTTAAATCCAGCATTAACTAAAAGCTTTATCAGAAAGACATTTGTCACTAAAAGCTCTTTCAGATGTGATAGAGGCGTAGAGTTATTATTTTCTCATTTTTAGAACATTTTTATTTAATTACAACTTTTGCTTTTTATTCAGTTTAGTTTCTCTCAGGAAATGGAAAAAAAGGTAGATGCAAGAAAACAGATTTAACATGATCATGGTTTTTTTGGGGGGGGGAGGCACTATTGCCTCACAGGTTCTGAGTTCAATTCCACCATCAGGCCGGGGTCTTTCTGTGCATGTTCTCTCTGTGTTTGCGTGCGTTCTCCCTGGGTCCTCTGGCTTCCTCCCACAGTCCAAAGACATGCAATTAGTTGGGATAGGTTAATTGGAAATTCTAAATTGCCCATAGGTATGAATGTGAGTGTGAATGGTTGTCTGTCAGGGCTCTAGAGTGCGACCAATTTGGTTGCAAATGCGATCAAATTTTTCAATGGTGCGACTAAAAAAAAAAAATAATAATAATTTGGTGGCACCTGTGCGACCAACTGTTCGGGTAACAAAAAAAAATAAAAAATCTCTGCAACTCTCCGTGTGGTCAACAACAGACACACTTTATCGTGGACTAAACCAATCAGAGATAGTCAGGGGCGGGACCTCTCTGATTGGCCGTGGTCCAGTTGAAAGTGCAGGTGGAAGAGAGAGGTGAGTAGTTTGAATAAGGCGATATCAATTCATTAACGGATTCCACACAAAGACGTAAACGCAGAGTGGACCCGACGCATCAGAATCAGCTTTGTCTTTCTTGGCTTTCTCACCCGACAGCCCTTACACGGACACGCTGTCGGAGCTTAGCGATTCTGATACGTCGGGTCCGCTCTGTGTTTACGTCTTTGTGTGGAATCCGTTAATGAACGTGTGTGTGTACTTTAAGAACAGTGTCCCGTCTCAAATCTGTTTTCTGCATTATTCATTCGCTTATTACCCACCAGTCTACCGTTGTTTACAGCGCTGTCTTTTTCTTTTTTCACTTAAATGACCTCGGACAAGAAAGCCTAATTTCTGCTGTTCAATACTGAAGAAATTTAAACTTCTTAAAATTATGCAAAATTGCAGAATATTTTTAAGGTTATCTGCTATAAAAAGCCAGGAAAATCTCCTTCATGTTTTTCTGTGTTTTATTCTCAGTTACTTTCACACAAAGGCATCTGCTGTGATGTTCACAATTCTGATGAAGTCTCACATGTATCAGTACTGATAAATGATCAGAATTATAATATTTCTGACTGTCTGAGGCTAAATTGAATCGAATCAGGACTTTGAGAACCGGAATCGAATGGATTATGGAAATCAGCAATGATACCCAGCCCTAGTGAGCAGCCTACGCTCGACAGAAGTGGATGTAGCTGTGGGTAATGAGAAAAGATGAAAAGAACGATTGATAACTTTTTTGTTAAGTTAAGGCCTGAACCGTCATGGCCAGTGCTCTGAAACAGTGCCATCAATCTTGAAAAAGCACAGTGTATCCAGAAAACACATTATATGCTGCAATAAATGCACTGCCCAAGTGTCCCCTCTCCCAACTGCCTCTCAGCAACAAACAGCAGCAAACAGGTCGTCAGAGGAGCCGAGATGATTAAGTTTAACATTTTCTACAATATTGACAAAGCACTTTAAGCACACGTTTGTTAGTTAATAATTTAGAAATGAATATTGTCTGTATGGACTCCCCCCCCCAAAAAGAAAGTGCACATGTAAAACTGCGGTGTTAAGCGATGCGGTTGAAAAATTTGAGTGCGCCTAACTTTTGTGCCGGTACGCCTAAATTTTTAAAGTTAGGCGTACCAGTGCGCCCATGTCAAAAAGTTAGTCTAGAGCACTGTCTGTGTTTGTGTGTTAGCCCTGCGACAGACTGGCGACCTGTCCAGGGTGTATCCTGCCTCTCGCCCTAAGGCAGCTGGGATAGGCTCCAGCGCCCCTCGTGACCCTTTAAAAAGGATAAGCGGAAGCAAATGGATGGATGTGATCATGTTTTCTTAAATCTCATTCATGCCATTTAGCCACAGTCACATTCCCTTTTTTTTCACATGCTAGGATGAGGAGAAAGGAGAAGAGCAGGCAGTAGAAGTCAAGCCTGAAGAGGACGACAGCGTGCTCTCATGCCAAACTATCAGCCAGGCAGGTGACGACAACGTGGAACAAGAAGATGGGGAGAGTGAGGGAGGGGACGAGGAGGAGGCAATCAAGCTGGAGAAGTCTGAAATGGAGGAGGAAGGGCGGGAGATGAGGGAAGAGGATGAGGAAGTCGAGACGACTGAAAGGACAGAAGTGGAGGAGGCAGAGGAAGCAGAGGAAGGAGAGGAAAGAGGCGCAGAAGAGATGCCTGAGATGCTTCCGGATACGCCGGGTGAAGAAGTTCAGGTGGTGGCGCAGGAGGTGGATGAAGGTGTGGCGCTTGAAGGTGACGCAGTGTGCGCTGTAAAACTCAAAGATGATGATCAAATCCCAGCAGAGATGAGCGATCAAGGACTCACCACGGAGCAGAAGGAGCAAGATTTCAATCAAAACTCTGGAGATGAGACTGAAGAGGGAGAAGACACAGTAGAGGAGGGGGCTGACCTCAGCGTGGGGTTAGACCAATCGGCGAAAGGTGTGGGAGGGAGCCAGAGTGATGCAGATCAAAGCGAACAGGAGCTGGAGAGCGAGGAAGCAACGCCACAGTCAGACACCAAACAGATGGAGGAGTGTCCGAGTGAAGCCGCAGAACAAGACGACGGCTCCCCCGAGCCTCCTCCTTTGTCCCTGCAGTCACCAAAGAGCGAGGCCAGGAGTCCAACCAAGACCAGCACAGCGATCGTCCACATAAATCTAGTTTCTCCCAGCTCAGAAAAAGCCACGTCTTTATTCCAGCTGCCTCCAGCTGCTGCAGATTCCAGTGACAGCGCCAGTGAGGCGGCTTCACATGACACAGAGTCCACCTCTGCAGATAAAGAGGAAGCTGACGGTGTGGAGGAGGAAGAAGAAGAAGAAGAAACACATCAAGACGCTGCATCTCCTGCACCGACTGAGGAAAAGACAAGCCAGCCGCCCTGCAGCCCCGATCATACTAAAGTCCGCTTCACGATCGCTCCCGCCTGGCAGAGATCACAAAGTCTGAACCCTCCTCCTTCCCCACCTGCTTCTATCTCCTCCCCCTTCGCTGTCGCACCATCCAGCTGCGAGGAGCCGGAGACTGTGACCGAGGATTCGGTCACGAAAGCAGAACCGGCGACTTCACCAAAGGTCGAGTTGGTGCTGAGCCCCAGTAGGGTGAAAACCGCCAAACCACAAAGCAGTGTGACACCGGCTCCACCCAAGATCTCTACTTCTGCGAGCATTGAAGGTAAGAGCGCTGAACATGTGTGATGGTAGATGATGAAGCCGTTTTCTGCAGGGACAGGATCCACTTCGGTTGTGTTTAGACGAGGCTGATTTTACTGGACTAGCACGTGCATGCTGTGTATGCTTTAAAGTGAACCTTGCAAACACTGGATGTTTGCTGTCTGAAGTGTCCTAATCTGTATCACAGGAGGGTAAATTATAACCACTTTTTCCTACGCTGCCACCTGCAGAGAGCTCAGTGATTGTAGAGGGAAACCCGGACAATCCCTTCGGAGTTCGGCTGAGAAAGACTTCGGCTCTGCTGCGCTTCAGCTCAGAGGAGGAAAACACAGAGGTGATTGAAAAGCTTTTTAACGGTTTCTAGGACACTCTGAACTTCTTACCTCTCAAACATGATGCAGGAAACCTGAAACTTTAAGCTTAAATTCATGTCAAAAGTATTATTTGTGTTTTATTTATTATCCTTTAGCCTCCGACTGAGTCACAAACTCAGCCACCCAGCTCTAAAGTTGACTCCCCGCAGCCAGTCAGTGTTAAGCCCTCCATCTGTCCACCGGTCAGCATCAAACCTGCGCTGCCTAAGAAGCCAGAGGTTCAAGCTGAAAGTGGAGGGAAACTGAAGCGCGTCTCAGGTGTGTGTCCACGTTCATCTTTACTTAAAGAGGAATTATCATGCTTCTTCTTTGCTTCTGTCATGTATACACTGTGTCAGTGGTGGATGTTCATATTAAACATGGCCACGGCTCAGACTAAAGACCGCTCGAACTGCTCACGGACAAGATCACAGGAGCGCTGCACAGCCTCACCGTATTAATCTGCTCGAGCGTAACAATCCTGAACTCGACAAGTGTAAGAAAGCAGCTCGCGAGCCAGCCTGTGGCGTAACAACTGTGTGTGCTGTTAATTTAGATTCAGTTGCGGGCCGCGCTGTTTCTACTGGATCTGATCCTCCCAGCTGGATCTCTGTGGCCAAACAGAAGCAGAAGATCTATAAGGAAAACTCACTGGAGGAGATCACTGTCAAGAAGGTAGACTTACAGAGACGCACAAAAACAGGATGCATGCATGCAGAGTACGCCGCCACCACGTGATCTGTATGTGACTGTTCTGCTGCTGCTCTTTCAGGAGGACCAAGAGAGAAAGTCTTCACTTCCAACATACGTCTGCTCAGCTGCAAGCAAGGAGCAAGGCACCAAAACAGCTGAAACCAAAGGCAAAGGTCTGCATGCACACACATGCAAACACACACACACAGTCCATTCATTAGGCTCCTTCATCATTTGTGCAGTACCTCAGTAACTGTCTGTTTTACTATGCACTGCTGCCCTCGTCTGGTCAGCCTCTGCTACAGTAGATAAATAATTAACACTTTGTGTTGGAGGCTGATTGTAATGATTGTACATAACAACTTAGCGGAAATCCACACATAAACAATACAGTGTAGAAAACACTAGACACTATCTTGGCCTCACGTGGGTGGTGTACGGTGAAAGGTGGTGTTGCACAACAGCCTGAAGTTAGTATTGAAGTCTTTCAGACTATTTACAGAGGTCAGAAGTAAATAGTCTGTGAGCTTTAACTTTAAAATACATTTCTGTCAAAGTCTCTCCTCGGGTTTATTGTTTACGTGTGTGTGTGTGTGTGTGTGTGTGTGTGTGTTTTCTCACAGGGGCTCATTTGGAGATGAGCAAGCCGTCAGTGTCTCCAGACAAGGAGGCCAGAAGGCCTTTCTCTCCTCCGACTCCAGTGCCGCCTCAGCCTTTAAAATCCCAGCCCCTCCCCTGTGTTGCCCCCAAACCCTATGTCCCACCACCCCAAGCAAAGTATCCACCACAACCTAACCCTCCTCAGCGATGCCTGTCAACACCAGACGCTCCAAAATCTCCTGCTACTCCGTCATCTCCCTCTAAAACTCCGCCCCCGCTCACCTGCTCCCCATTTCCATCGAGGACCGCCTCAGAAAAGCCCGTCCTGAGAGCGCCGGGGCTTCCTGGACAGACGCCGCCCTCCCAGCGAAACCTGCCTCCCACAACTCTGGCCCAGGACGAGCCCCCCTGGATGGCGCTGGCCAAGAAGAAAGCCAAAGCCTGGAGCGAGATGCCCCAGATAGTCCAGTGACAGGCCAGGTCAGATTTAGAGAAACCACGCCCCCCGTGGGACCTGAAAGGCTCCAGGATGGAGCAGAACCGGTTTGCACACAAATATCTTTTAATCCTGAGCTTCAGGCTTTAGATTGGTGTAAAATGCCCAGCTCCACAGCTGAAGGCAGGCTCTTTTTTACTCCTTCATTTCTGTTTTCTAAATGACACGGTAGGACCCCGAAAGTTAACGCGTCTTACTCGAGGAGGATATTTTTTTTTCTTTGTTTGTTTGGTTGCTTTTAAAGATTCGTAGTTTGGGATGAGGTGCTGGAATGAGACACCTGCAGCCTCACACCAGTACGTTTTAACTTTAACTCGGATGAATCCACTTCACATCACTAAACATTTCAGGAAAGGGAGCACAGAGATGTTTTTTTATATGAGAACACTTCATTTACCCAGAACGATGATAAAGTAACAGAAAAAATCTTCTGTTCGTTCTTAAGAATGGACCTACACGATGCTGCCGGCCTGTGTGTGTGTGTGTGTGTGTTTATTATAAGGCAGGTATAAATGCTGATATATTTGAGGAAAATGGAATAGTCCGTGGTCTGAGAGTGAGATGAGGATTAAATCCAGAGCTGTTCTTTGTTTTTAAAATCTACTTTAAGAGAAGCACGTCCAATCAGGTCCGTGGACACTCCTGTTTCAGGCTCGTCCGTGTAAATTATATTTTTTCATTTTCACTTTTGATATTTTTGAATTCTCTTTTTGATATTTTGATCAACTCCAAGTATCCTGCAGAAATCTCCCAAACCCCGCCCCCAAAAAGCTGATAATCAGTGAGCGCTGCCGCTGCGTTCACAGTCATCTGTTTGAAATTGTTTAATGCATCGCTGCGTTGCAGAGTGTTGTCGACTATGAATCCTTTTCCAGTGTAAATGAAACATAAGTATAAAGCTACTTAGGCACTTAGAGCTGGGTTTGCTGCTGGATGCGTCGTCTGTGTCGTTTCAGTGTGTCTGGCAGTAAGCATATGCAGATATGTGATACTCGTTTTGTATTGCCTTTTGAGAATTTGTCTTGTACATAATAATGCGCAGTAAAGAACAAATTATAAAGCATGTTTCTGTGTTTGTTTGTTTGTACATCAGAAGTGGAGCACAGTCGGAAATGTGATGTCTTAACTGTGAAACTTTAGTTTGATTTGAACCCTTTAAAACAAATATGACCGGTGTGTCCGACGCTCGCAGGCTGGGCACACTGATACAGCATTTTCATTCCCCGGACTTTAACATTATCGAGATTCCTTTCCACGGCCTGGTTGTGTTTTCACCTTCACATAATGGTTTTAGGCTTTAAAACAGACACCCTACCACCCCCACAGGCCTAATAGTGGTTTGGTCCACTGCTAATCCCTAACTCTTTAACTTTGCAGATTTGATCTTAAAGGATGTGACCTGTTGTTCTTTATTTCCTGTAGAATAAAACTTCAGTTTGGTTGTGTGTATTTTCTTAACATCCATCACATCCTCACATTTCACTATGGCAGCCATATAGTTGCGGATCAGCCACACCACCTAATGGTTCTGGAAGCAGGAGGCGTCTTTGTGAGTTTCAGTAGTAGTTTTGGTAGCTTTTTTCTTCTTCTTCTTCACTCTCTCCATGTGTCATCACATTTAAACCTTTTCAAGCAAAAACAGGAAGTGAATCATAAGAAGGCTTTAACTTCTTTGGCTGGTTTGTGTTTGTAGACAGATGATGGCATCTCAATAAAATCAGAACCGTGCATACACACCAACGATGCCTTTACAGGTTTGTAGTCGAAGATAAAAAACACACAATGAAGGTCAGGGTTAGCTGACAGTGTGGTCTCCGGACTCAAAGACTTTAACTGGGATGTAAGTGCTGCTCAGGACTGACTGAGATCAAGCTCACAGTCTGTGTTTTGTCAGGTTGTTTGATGGGATGCATGTTTACAGTGACTGCTTCCTTACTGAACTGCATCAGGAGCACTATCTCAGTGTCCCTTTAAGGCTCAAGATCACAGAAATTTAAAGTGAAAAGAAATTTCATTTAATGTTTAAAATATGAATGAAAACCGACCAAGTATGAGTCTTAAAATATTGGCAACAAAACAGAGATAAAATGAGTCCTCACTGGTATAGGGTCTGCTGACCATATTAAACCAGTTCTCATCCAGCTCCACATTCTCAACATATCCAATACAAGATTTTGCTCCTCTGCCTTTGAAAGCTCTCTGACTTGGCACAACGTCATCTTTCCTCCGCTCAGCTTCAGCTGCTCTCCTGACAGCGCCTCACTTCAGACTTGTTGGCTCATATCAGAAGCTCAAAACACATCTGTTTACATCAGCACGCCAGCTAAAAACATGTTGCACATATTTACAATCATTTTATTTTCAATTGCTTTTAATGCCGTTGTTATTGTTAATTTTTGCACACAGACGACTCAGATGTGCTTCTTGTAACAGACTGATGCCTTCCTAACTATCAATCCTCTTACTGTAAGCATCAAACAAGCAAAGAAATGGGATTAGATTCTAAACTAGTGGAATTATTGCAGATGGAAAATAGCTTAATGTGAAAATTAGTCCAGAAAACACAAGCGAGTCGATCCCACTGTGGGTGATTTATGGCAGAGTGGGCTGATCAAACACTCGAGACGTCGATCTGTACAGTAGGGTAACATATTTTTTTTCCCTGCATTGTTTAAGTGAAACTTAGGCTCATTTTTCAAGCAAAAACTTTTCTTTAATTTCTCCCAAACGCGGCCTGCAAACATGTGGCCTTTATTTGTTTGTGTGCCTTTCTCCTTGTGTGTGGCCAAAATGTGAGCCAAATGTTTGTGCGCGCCTGCTCGCATGAACGAGTGTGAGCGGGCCACTTGCATGCGTATGATTGATGGTTGCCTTGTGTTTGCGCACAGGAAGCTGTAATCAACTCCCCAGATGTCTTTTCTGGGCGAGTTAGGTAACGCCGCGGCTGCCCTACTTCTGATACACACACTACAGCACACATGCAAAGTGGACCCGCCAAGATGTACAGTGCGTGTGTGAGTCCATGCCAGGTATCCATAGTGATGACAGCTGGGTGCTGATCTTCTCATTTACAGGTTATATAACCAACGGGGTTGGCAGGAGTCAGAGGCACAGAGGTGAGGAGGTGGGTGGGGGGGCAGTGGTATTGAGGTCGACTCGGGGAACTACAGTTTCTAAGAAGTCACCGAAAAATCCTCCTGCTCTGAAACTCTTACTGCTATGAAGATATCATCATAAATTTGGACGTTCACTTACACAGGAGTGATGAGTAGAACACAACAAAGCCTTTAAAAGTGTTTTATTGACTAGTGTAACTTTATATTGTGTGGCCAAGTTGATCTCTGTGCAACAGAGCGTGATGTAAGTTGGTCTGTTGAACTGGATCATAAAATTACTTCAAATATTATAAATGTGCAAAGATTTAAACAAATATTTTCTGACTAAAAGTCTCACGTCGTAGTTCTCAGTAGGAAAAGGGTGGAGCGTCCACTCTGAGTTCCTGCTCCATGTGGAAGAGTTTAAGTATCTCATGGTCTGAGGGGACAGTGGAGCATGAGGCTGACAGACTGGTGTTGCATAATGGTTAATATCTGGTGCTGCGATTGTTCTTTTGTGTATGTATGTGCCTACAGAGAGAAATGTTCAGCCAGTGTAAACATGCTTCCATGCAGTGCTCCATGATCCCGACTGCACGATCCTCGACATGAGCGTCATTGTGCATCGATCCAATGCTGATTGGTGGACAGAGTGATCACTGCCCCCATCTGACAGCAGATGCTCTCTGCAGGTAGACAAACAAGCCGTGGGCAGAGGTTTCCACTACTGAACCATCCTTTCCTGTGAACCAGTGATGGTGATGTTGTACTCGTTGTTGTAGTGATGAGAAAGCTGAACGTGAAATGAAATGAAGCTGTTGATCTACCTTCCTGTCCCCATCTATGCTGAAAATTATGTGTAGGGATTAGGTAGGGTCTCAAAGAGCAACCGCTTCTTCCCCACATTGAAAGGAGCCAGTGGAGGTTGTTTGGGTTTGAGATCAGGATGTTTTCTGGGAACCTTCTAGGTATGGCACTGTGGGCATGTACCACCAGGAGGAGGACCCAGGACAAGCTAGAGAGAGAACGTCCTTCAGGTGACTTGACTTTCATCTGGAAGAGCTGGTGAAGTTGGGTAGGGGATGTTTGGGTGCCCCTGTTTGGACAGCTGCACCAATGAACACCACTGGTAAAAGAGCTCAAAATGGATGGATGGCATTTTACAATATTGCAAAGCAGTGAAATAACCTGTGAACACAAGATTTCCCTGTCATTATCTTATGACATTTGCAAATACAATGTTTCTGTCAAGGTACTGCTGTGTCGCAGCATGGAGGGCTCAAACAGGGGAAGCTGACTGAAAGCAGCAGCTTTATTGCTGAAAATAATTCTACACGTTTACAGGAAACCAAACTGAAAACTAGGAACTAGAAATAAGAAACTAAAAGCAAAAAACTAAGGAACTAAATAAGGAAATGGAGAACTAGGAATTTAGTAGGAGCCCGCAAGTTACACAAAGCAAAGAGGGTGTACAATGCAACAATGGACAGAGGAACGCTCAGGGCTAAAATACACAAGCGAGTAACAACGGAATGGGAAACAGGAGGGAAACACAGCTGGGGCTAATAAGACATAATGAGACATAGGGGAAGCAAAACACTGAACACGGGACACGAAACTATCAAAGTAAAACAGGAAAACACAAGACGGGCATGGAGACACAGGCATGTCAAGGAGGCGTGGCTGACTGGGGAGACAGGGAACATAGAGACAGGGACGACTAGACATGAAAAGTGGGACATGAGAACAGAAACGAAACACAGGCTAAGATGAACACTGGGGGGGGGGAGAACTAAGATTACTGAGTCTGTGAAGGTTCTCAGTCATCCAGGTCATCGTAGTCAAAGGAGCTTGGAAAGAAAAGCGTCTGGACTTCTTTGAGTTGCTTGAAGACGTTTCACCTCTCATCCGAGAAGCTTCTTCAATTCTAAGGGCAAAAGGGGGAAAAGCCCAAAATTAAAACCAAGGGGAAGTTACCCCCAAAAAAGGAAAAAAGGACCCCCTGATGATCCTCTAATCGCCTGAGCCAAGGTGTGAAACTGGGCGTGGGTCCCAATCAGCCAGAGTTTCGGGTGTGTTCATTGTGAAACCTGGCCCCACCTTATCATGCGAATTCCTGAGGTCAGATGGCCCAGGATGTGGGTGGGCGTTAAGGCGTCTGGGAAGGGATCTCAAAACTGGATTATAGATGGCAGAGAGTTGGTGTCGTAAACCCCCGCCTCTGTTCAAAGATGGTCGCTCACAGTGGACATAGATGGCTTCTTTCACTCCTCTTTCGAACCATCTGTCCTCTCTGTCCAAAATGTGAACATTGGCATCCTCGAAAGAGTGTCCTTTATCCTTAAGATGCAGATGGACTGCTGAGTCTTGTCCTGTGGAGGTGGCTCTTCTGTGTTTATTACTGAGAGCTTAAGAAAAAGGATAAACAAAACCAAGAACAATAATAAACAAATAATATTAAACCAAAAACACCGTGACAGTTTCAGGTCCAGAACACTCAGTTTTGGTCTCCACCAGCCAAGTTCTTTAGTTTTTCCTGATCAGGAGTCTGTTTTTGTTGTTGTTTTTTTCTTCTTAGTAACTGAAATTTTAATTTAATTAAATTTAATTAATCATGATATGTGCTATTGTCACATGGCTGTTTTAAGTGACAGTTAGATACTGTTTGCTTACCTTCAGTGTCTGTTATGCTAAGGATGCTGAGGAGCCAGCTGTTGACTCCTCTAGCACCATCCTACCCACACAGCCTCAGCTGCCACCAGCAGGAGAAGCTGGCAAGCTGTTTGGGAACCTCTTTGTTGCGACCAGATCGAAAGCTGTTTACCATTGCGATTTTGGTTTAAGCCTGTTTTTCACTCGGCCCCTACCTCAGGTAATGTCACAGTTTTACAGATGAACCCTGCAAAGCAAGCTAGCTAAAAGTACCATTAGCTAAAATAAACCAAATAACAAAGACTAAGACTGCCGG